GCAATAACCTATCTTAATAAACAAAAGAACATGTTCTAGACTTATTCAAAAAAGATATTTATGAAATATGAAATATGAAATATATTAAAATGTTTAAATTATAAGCTATATATATATATTCATATATATATAGATAGATGAAATGTTAGTTTTGCTTGTGTGCATGTCAATCTTTGGTTAGTATGTATGATTTATAGATTTGATGGGAACTATATGTTGTTAAAGAAACATATAAACAATACATCATTTATATGTAACAGCTAGATCATGCAAGACTTTAAACGTTTTCAGAATTTAACTTCTTTTGTTCTCCAGGAAGAGGAGCCTAAATGTCCCCCAGCCCCCTCCTGTTGTAATTGGGTTTACATCTAATATAAAGTCTTAGACAATATAATCTCAAACTTTAGAAGTCTATAAGAGCTGGAGGGTGGGTTGAGGGGGGGGGAGGTTGATGTGTGAAGGGGGGGGAATAGTTTGTATGGAATTACAATGAGGAATGCCAAGTTAAGGAACATATATGTGTCTAGAAACTTGAATCGGGAGGGATACAGGAGGATACAGGAGAATACAGGGGATGCAGGAGGATATAGGAGGATACAGGAGGATATAGGAGAATACAGGAGGATATAGGAGGATACAGGGGTATCCAGGAGGATACAGGAGGATACAGGGGTGTACAGGAGGATGCAGGACATTACAGCAGGAGGATACAGGGGGATACAGGTGAATATTGGTGGATAAATGAGGCTAGATAATGAAGCTGTCTCTTGAGACGATGGTTAATATGATAAAGGGTGAAGAGTATAGTGTTTAGGGTGTAAATGAGGGAAACAAGGGGTAAATATAGTTAATGCAATGCACGTGAATCTAACAAGAGAAAAGTATGTTCGAAATATATCAGATTAAATTCATTCACGCTTTGATCTTCTTTATATGAACTAGGAGTGCAACCCAAATTTTAATAACACAAAGAAAGTCATTTCAGGGGAAAATAGGCTGAAAGTTAAGGCTCACGGACCAATTAAACTTGCCATCTGAATCGCCGTGAAGGAGTGTTGAGACTGGGGGAAGGGTATATCTACAGAACACAGGGGGAGGGAGTGTTACAGAATACAGGGGGAGGGGGTTATATCTATACAGAATACTAATCCACGGAATATTTTCAGTTTATAGAGTTGGAACATGGAACAAATTTATTTCTCTAGAAGCAGATTCTAGATTCTAGATTCTAGATTCTAGATTCTAGATTCTAGATTCTAGATTCTAGATTCTAGATTCTAGATTCTAGATTCTAGATTCTTGATTCTTGATTCTTGATTCTTGATTCTTGATTCTAGATTCTTGATTCTAGATTCTAAAATAAAAAATAGAGAATCTAGAATTTAGAATCTAGAATCTCTATTTTTTAGAATCTCTTTTTCTTGAATCTCTAGATGCTAGATTCTAGATTCTAGATTTTAGATTCTAGATTCTAGATTCTAGATTCTAGATTCTAGATTCTAGATTCTAGATTCTAGATTCTAGATATTAGATTCTAAAATAAAGAATAGAGAATCTAGAATATAGATTCTAGAATCTCTATTTTTTAGAATCTCTTTTTCTAGAATCTCTTTTTCTAGAATCTCTTTTTCTAGAATCTCTAGAATCTAGATTCTAGATTCTTGAATTTGGATTCTAGGTTCTAGATTCTAGGTGTGTCAGATCCTAGGGCTGAGATAAATATTAGATAAAAAGTTGATATTAACATTAGTTAAAGGGGGTGTTCATCAAATTCAAAGAGGGGTTGAACCATAATTAAGTTTTGAGTTGGTCCTATTAAATTAATATTTTTTACGGAATATTTGAGAAATTTCATTTCCTCACTATAAATCTAAAATATACCGAATCTAAGCTAGGCGAAATTCGACATCGTACACATTCTCTTTAAGATTATAGTATTGGTTATGGTGCTTTTTTTAATCTGCAGATAGATAGATACAAATATTTAGATAGATGGAGAGAAAGATTAAAAAAGATATATATGTAAGATAGATACGAGATAGATAGAAAGATATATATGTAAGATAGATACGAGATAGATAGAAAGATATAGATTAAGATAAAGGTTTGGTCCTGTCTTACAGAATAGTGCTCTGGGATAAAATGTGTTGGAACAATTCTTCATATAATCTGAAATATCAGGTTTAAGCCTTATATTTACAAGCTTCAAGTGTTTACGGTTCACTCTTAAGATTTCAGAATCTTTCAATATTTTGTTTAAGAGTTCAGCGATTATTAGTTATCACTGTTCAGTGTTTAGTGATCTGAATTTATTGTTCAGTGATCAGAATTCAGTGATCAGTGTTTAATGATCAGAATTCAGTGATAAGTGTTTAATGATCAGAATTCAGTGTTCAGTGATCAGAATTCAGTGTGAGTGTTTTTTATTTTGTGTTAATTGCAGGATTTTTAGTGTTTAGTTCTGATCAGTGTTCGGTCAAAATTGTTCAGCGTTTAGTGTTATATGTTCAGTATTCAGTATTCAGTACAAATTGTTCAGTTTTCAGTGTTCAGTATTCAGTGTTCGGAAGACATTTTTCAATGTTAATTGCTAAAAAAAAAATTAAAACTGCAACATGTCATAGCTAGGAGTATAAGTTGTGTTTTGTTAACTCATTGAAGGCTTGAAAACAATTTGTTCCTAAACTCAACAAAATCAATAATGACATCACGACATTGTTTAGTCATGAACATCTCATTTCCTCCCCCTCCCCAGGAGGGGTCCTGATGCCCTCCCCCCAGGAGGGGGTCTTGATGCCCCCCCCCCTGATATTCCGTTCATTTCCTTTCTTAGTTCTTATTTTCCCCTCTCATTTATCTTTCATTAAATATGTNCCCCCCATCTTTCTGAAAAATATCAAACTTCTTTTTTTTATTGCCATTCAGATATAGATTAAATTACATGTACAGTCTCTTTAAAGCAGTGCATAGAATCCGGATCCGTTGGATCCGCAAGATTTTGGCTTCCTGGATCCGGATCCTTAAAAATATGCGAATCCACGGATCCGGAACAAAGGGCAAAATTTCAACCAAAAACTGAAAAAAAAACTTTTTTACTCTCAAAACCCAAATCTGGACGTTTGATAAAAAGAGAGATAGTAAAAATTTCATGAATTCTGAATGGTTTATCAAGTTTTAGCATAAAAATAAGCGAAAAAAAATAAGACAAACAATTTGAAAATTTTGCTTTGTTAAAAAAAATTCAGTAAATCTTAAAGAAATGACATGGATCCATCTTTTCCAGTGCGGATCCAGGATCCTCAGATCATGATTCGCATCAAAATTAAAGGGATCCTAAGCACTGCTTTAAAGGGACTGTAAACTTAATTTCCATGCTAAAAATTTTTATCGGTAAGAAACTTTAATCTGATCAAAAAAGTGGAAGATAACGTCGGTTTTCTTACTCGAAAAGTGTTTGTTTCTGTGAGTTTCTCCATTTAATGAGCCAGTCACTTTCGCAGAGAAACGGCAAAACGAATTTAACTGCAATTTAAATTAACAAAACATTAATATCTCATTCATTCTTGATCAGCCAAAGCTTTCAAGATACACCTTCAGATTCTTTGATTGAATAAAAATAATAGATTTGTAATGTAAGAAATGAAATGAAACTTTTAAATAATTTCCCATTTACACTGCACTTAATGTTAACTATTTTACAAATTTTGCAAGTCCTTTTCGCAAGGAATTATCGGTGCAACCACTTTAAATGCAGTTTAAAAACAAGGTCAGGTTGTTTTGCACATGAGTGCTGAACACTACAAAATTCCCCCCCAGTGCATTTTTGAAGATTATCATTCTTAACTTGTCCAAAAGAGAGAGAGATGCATAAACTGGTTTGTCAGGTTTAAATAATCATTTAAAGGGATTGTCAACGAAATCTGATGTTGATGTACAAAAACAATTAAACAGGAGACATAATTTTTTTTTTGTTTGTTGATGGCAGTTTGTTTGAAATTTTCCGAACAGTCCCTTTAAGAAAATTGGCGGAGAAACATAAAACAAAATTTTTGCAGAATTATCCTTGCAAAAATATGAAACTGGCAGTGCTTAAAGTTATCCTATCTGTGTTACAGTTGGAATTTTTTAAGATTGTATCAGTTGCTCAGAAAAATTCAAATAGTTTTTAGTCACAGCTCATTTCCTATTTTACTTTTCTTTTTAATTTTTAAAATAAATCCAATCATTATTGTTTTTTTTTACCATTAGTCATGGAAACTGGTTCTGAAATAAAAAATAAAAATGAAAATTGATATGATTATTAAAAATGTGTTAAGAAGAAAAGCAGTGAAGCGGGATACAATTAATATAAGATTACAAAGAAGAAAATATCTTGCTTGATATTGATACATTATCATGTTTAGAAATGTATAATTTGGAAAACAGGAGACTGGAAATATATAATTTGTGTTTCATACACTTGTTCTACCTTATACTATATACTATCCCTCCCCCCTTATATAGAATCATTTATTCAGTGTATTGATTTTCATTTCTGGGTCGGTTAGATATGCTGCTGATAGATAGATAGATAGTTTACTGTTTCAATCCTGTAAAGTACACTTTAAGCAACAGAAAGGAATTTACTTTACGCCCAAAGTTTTCAAACATTGCAGTGAATGCCAAAAAATAAATATTTGTAATAGTATTCGTTAGAAAAGGAACTGAACACATGTTACAAATTCTTTTATGGTTCCCAATTCTTTGCAACCTGATGTCAATGACATTTGATATTTCAAATTAAGAATTTTGTTAAATCAAGTTTGAAATATCAAAGGTTTACACCGTCAGTAATATATAGAAATACGAGAAATTATAGTTGGTGAAAACTAGTTCCTTAGTCGCAATACCATCGATTGTCTGAAGGGTCAAAGAGTAATGTTGTAAATGAAGTAAGAATTGCTGAAAATTGTGATGACAATTTTATCATTTTTCATATTTTAATAATTTTTTATTTTCAGGTTGGGGATATGATCTCTGTGATAGATATGCCTGCTACAGATGAGAGTGTATGGTGGAGAGGGAAGAGAGGGTTCGAAGTTGGATTCTTTCCATGTGATTGTGTTGAGATCATAGGAGATAAAGTTCCTCATTCACTCAACCTAACAGGAACCAGACTGGACACAAGTTTCAGATTCATGATTGTCATTCACAGCTTTATTTGAATCATTTGCAACTTCATTGTTAACATTCGCAGCTTCGATATCATCATTATAATCATTTAGATCATCATATGCATCATGGAAAGCTTTTTCATTATCATTTACAGTTTCATTATCATTATTAACAGCTTTGTCACAATCATTTAAAGATCCAAATTCATCAAATTGCTGGTTTAAGATCATATATTATGCAGTTTCAACACCATCTTTTAACGTTTTAAGGTTATCTTTTACAGTTTTAAGGTCATCTTTTACAGTTTTAAGGTCATCTTTTACAGTTGTAAGGTCATCTTTTACAGTTTAAAAGTCATTTTTTACAGTTTTAAGGTCCTCTTTTACAATTTAAAGTTCATCTCTTATAGTCATCCTAAAGAGTTTTAAGGTTTATTTTACAGTTTTAGGGTCATCTTTTACAGTTTTAAGGTCATCTTTTACAGTTTTAGGATATCTTTTAAAGTTTTAAGGTCATAATTTACAGTTTTCAGACCATATTTTACTGTTTTAAGGTCATCTTTTACAGTTTTAAGGTCATCTTTTACAGTTTTATGGTCATCCTAAAGAGTTTTAAGGTTTCTTTTACAGTTTTATGGTCATCCTAAAGAGTTTCAAGGTTTCTTTTACAGTTTTAGGGTCATCTTTTACAGTTTTAAGGTCATCTTTTACAGTTTTAAGGTCATCCTAAAGAGTTTTAAGGTTTCTTTTACAGTTTTATGGTCATCCTAAAGAGTTTTAAGGTTTCTTTTACAGTTTTAGGGCCATCTTTTACAGTTTTAAGGTCATCTTTTACCGTTTTAAGGTCATCCTAAAGAGTTTTAAGGTTTCTTTTACAGTTTTATGGTCATCCTAAAGAGTTTTAAGGTTTCTTTTACAGTTTTAGGGTCATCCTAAAGAGTTTTAAGGTTTCTTTTACAGTTTTAGGGTCATCCTAAAGAGTTTTAAGGTTTCTTTTACAGTTTTAGGGTCATCTTTTACAGTTTTAAGGTCATCTTTTACAGTTTTAAGGTCATCTTTTAAAGTTTTAAGACTATTTTTTACAGTTTTAAGTTCATCTTTTACAGTTTTAAGGTCATCTTTTACTGTTTTAAGGTCATCTTTTGATTTTAAGGTCATCTTTTACAGTTTTAATGTCATCTTTTAGTTTTAAGGTCATAATTTACAGTTTAAGGTCATCTTTTACAGTTTAATGGTCATCCTAAAGATTTTTAAGGTTTCTTTTACAGCTGTAAGGTCATCTTTTAGTTTTAAGGTCATCTTTTACAGTTTTAAGGTCATAATTTACAGTTTTAAGGTCATATTTTACAGTTTTCAGAAACTATTTTACATTATCAAGGTTAAAAGTATATTAGCAAACAAAATCAATATTATCATTTACCACCGGGAATAATTACATTAATCTTGACATTAAGATTTTGATCACTATGATTGTAGAGTTGATGGACTGAGTTAACCCATAATGGGGTTTCTTGACCTTGTGTTTTCTTTACATTTAAAATATTTCCAGCTGGGAGGGGTAGGGGGAGGAAAGGGGGGGGGTGTTGAAGGATAGTAATAGGGGGGGGGGGTACCTTAAAATAAACAAAAAGTTTGCTAATGATGACAAGACTGTGAGGGAATTATTTAGAATTTGTCAATTTCTTAAAAATAATTATTTTTTTTCTAAAATATTGACTGTCCATGTTGGAGTAGGTGGGAATTCTCAGACCCTTCCCCACCACCACCATCTTCAACGACGAGATTCCGACCAATCAGATTCCCCGTCGGAACCTTCAAAACCGGTTTTACGGAAACATGGGAAGCTGATTACATTCTTCCGTAGTTTTATCTTGTCCCGACCTACCCGCGGAAAGCTGAAAAAGCGCGGCATTTTGAAGGAGCGCGTCTTCAGCTGCGATCTTGGAGAATATCTGCTCAACTCTGGACAGGAAGGTTGGAAACCGACATTTTTATTATTTATTTCTCATTTTTTAATGGTGTTCATTTTTCTTTTTTTTCTATTTAATGAGACTATTGTTACAACGGTACAACGGTACAACGGTACAACGGTACAACTGTACAACGGTACAACGATACAACGGTTCAACGGTACAACGATCAGATCAATAAGGTAAAAATAAAAGATGTCACCGTTTTCTAGCTTTAAAAGTAATTAATTCTTAAAAATTTCCCAATTTTTTTCAGAAGCATAAATATGCAAGACACTTTAATGGAAACCTCATTTGAAAATGATTAATTTTCAAAGATATTATGATGGATATCTCATTCATTCTTGACCAGACAAACCGTCGTACATCACACATGCCACTTTATAAATACAGAGTAACTTCAAATTACGTCTCTAGTCCCTTTAATCCTCCATTACGTCTCTAGTCCCTTTAATCCTCCATTACGTCTCTAGTCCCTTTAATCCTCCATTTTCTCTGTTGCCGTGGAAACTTTTCTTCTATTTCAGATAATATTCTCAAACATTACTTTTTCATTTATTTTCTTTTGCTTCTCAGTTAAAAGTTTGTCACTGTCATAGCTTGGATTTCGAAACATTTGTCACAGAACAAACTCATTCATGTCCGACATCTATTGTCAAACAAATAATTTAAAAAAGTGCATTTAAAAAAGAAAAATATTGTTTTTGCAAATTTTTCGAATTAACAAAAATTAAAGTAGAAAAATTTTGAATTTAAATTATTCATCTCGATAAATTTTTCGGAGGGGGGGGGGGGGCCGGGGGGGTGTATACATCCCCTCTGTTAACCTCTGTTCTAATGTAGGGTGTGTCGTTGTAGGAACAAAACTTAAATTTTATTATTAAACATGAAAACATTTGAAAAGATGTGTCCTTTAAGGACTTAGGGGTCTCAAATAGCTCTAAAGCAATTCAAGGAGGGGTGGGGGGGGGGCTCCTCAGCTCTGATTTAAAACACGTTGTTTCGAAAAAATTAAGTTTTCATGCTAGTTTAAATTTAATTGAAGCAGGCCTAAAAAATGCACGTCTTTTAATGCCTATTTAACACTTGGCAAATTAAACTTGTGCATGTAAGTTTTTATTCAAAAATAGTTTGGCAAGAATTCCCTACAAATCCCCT